CGTCCACGCGTTATTTACCTTTCATGACTGGAAGGACTTTCACTTTTCGATGACCATGTATGCGTATGTTTGCACGTTACTGCTGTTGCTGTTGCCGGTGAAGATGTTAGTGATGACGGCAAACTCGCCGTGATCTTTTTTGGCTCGTTATCGAACTCAACTGGCTGGTCGATCTTTAACGCCGCAGTCTTCGTGCCAATGAGCCAACAAACGCTGACGTTTTTGATCTCTTTTTCACGGCTCAATCTGACTTATTATAAATACATCATTCATACTGCCATCGTTGCCGTCTCAGCGCTTGTCTGCTCTATTATGTTCTAGTTCGTTTACCATGTTTGCACTCGCACGTTCGTCTTGCTTCCGTTGCTGTTAGCCCAGCTGTCTCGACGATCTGAGACCGCGTAGGCAGACAGCTAAAGCCTATTGCGACTTGCAATGGTTGCTTTTGTCGCTGCATCTGTTTGCTCTAAAGTCCTAGGACTGTTTGGGAGCAACGGCTACGTGCTTTGGCCTTCCCATGTATTTTTCAATACTGTCATCGTCGCTGTCCGCCAGATCGAGCACTGTCCCTAGCCATTCTGTTATCCCTATTCTGCCTCCATGAATACACATATCCGACGATGCATCGCAGTCACAGTGTCTGACCATAAAACGGCTGAGCGCACAGAACCATACAAATTACGGATTTCACGCTTGAATACCGCGCAATAGTACAAATGACCACGTCACCGTGCTTCGTTGACTTGTTTTTCGGTTGATTTACTTCCTTTTCCTCGTTTGCTCAAGTCCGAGTCATGGCGCGCTAGCCTGAATAACCAAACGGCGTAACCAAGGAAGAGTCGAACAGTGAAGACGCTGCTCCTGCTCCCACTGATAAAGATGGTCGTGATGGAGACATTGATGACTGAAGATGGCTAACGATGGAGAAAAACTGGCAACTACTGACTCTAACGGAATCGTCGCTCGTTCGCGCTCTCTCTCTCTCTCTCTCTCTCTCTCTCTCTCTCTCTCTCTCTCCCTCTCTCTCTCTCTATCCCCCTATCTGTTTTTCTACCACTCTCGCGATTATATCCTTTCACCTCTTTGCTCGCTGTGTCCACGCTTCGATCCGTTTGACAACGACCATTTTCGTTCCATCCTCCGTTTAACCCATCCAAAACCACCACGATCACCACTAAAAATATTACATATATGTCTGTACATATATATAAATGACGGTATGCCCGAGAAGTTTCCAATGTATGAGCCAAAGAGCGCAGACATATAATACAACTCCAAATTGTACTGCCCATACGCATGTGCTTATATATGTTTACCAAATATACATCCTTCTATTCTAAAGCCTCCCCCTGGTTTTGCGATTTTACTAGGACTTACGTAAGTCATAGCTCTACGGCAGCGTCAAGCCACAACAGATATTACAGGACTATTCGTTGGATTCAACTTACGTTGATTTTGTGTTTGTGTCTATGTGTGAGGGTTTTTTTTCCTTAATTTCGTTGTTAGCGATAGTCATGTTATCGTAGCGCGCGGTGCGATGGAGTGTTCCTATGCAGGTTTCTTCGCAGTCGCCGAATTAAGTTCCACTGTGGCTGTTATTGGTGCCTTTTATTGCGCCACTGAGTTCTCTAAAGCTAGATAAATAAGTTACTTGCGCAGGTTATTTTCTTTGTCTACCCCTTGGCACAGCGGTAAGGATTGCCTCTAACGATGGCGCCCGCGTCCTAGGCGAACGTGCTTTTCCCCGTCGCCCACAGCCGGCGACAGCCATCGTAGAGGCGGTCCTCAGAGCCTCCATCCACAACTGATTCCAGTCTATGTCCGGCTGGCCGGCTGGCTGACATCGATGCATCTGTTAGCTCGCCGCTTCTTGAGTCTACCACGAGCTTGTGCTTTCCATCTGTCGTCTATCTGATATCTGTTTGGGAAGTTACGATTGCAATTGCAACTTGTGCCGCGAGAATAAGACTCCTACTACTGACGCTGTTACCGTTATCAGCATCGCTATTACATTAATAAATAAAGAACCAGAGGCAGCCAAGACTGGACTAACTAACGTGCGCTGCTCTACATTGTCGTTGTCTGTCTTGCTTGCCCTGTTGCTCATTCCGCTTTCCACTTCAGTTTCTTGCGGCTCGTTACGAATGATAACGGCATCACCTCAGCAGCAGCAGCAACTACGGCTATGACAGCGTTTACCGTTGTCAGACGTAGAGCAGCAGAAGCAGGCAAACCCGCCAGGACGCAACCGCAGGAATCGGTTCCTTTTCCCTGCCTTTAACAAACATCTGCTACAATGAAACAACGAAACGGTGCCAGGCCGCCACTGCTGTCTATGCTACTTTATACTCCACAGGAGACCGCAATTCACGCTCCAGCCCGCGTTCGTTCTCACTGGATTTGTCATCCAACTGCGTCGAGCTACTCCGCGATTGATTTCATTACGCTTCCATGTGTGGCGTTATTTCGCTCTCTGCCACTCCTGTTCATTATTACTGCTATTGCAGCAGCTCGTCCGTTCGGTTGCCTTTTGCATACCTTGTAGTAAATCGCTGCTGATCGTAGACGCCACTATTGCTACCGGTCGAGTTAAAGGAAGGGTGAGATTTTATATCGTCTTTTAACGTTTGATGCACAACGCGCACGAAAGACTAATTCACTAAAAGGAAACAACAACAAATGTCATCGTTTTATATAATACGCAGCCCTATACTCTATATGTGCGTACTGCGGCGCAGGCCAGCCACATATCTGGATATTTACAATAATAATACACCACAGAATAAACTCAGCAACTGCTGACGCTGCTGCTGTTGCTGTTATCGACGGCGAAACTGAATCACGCTGCCGAGTGCTACTCGTAGTTCCGCAATTGGCAGCATCGTCGTAGCCGTTCATACTGCTGCCACTACATTGCTGCTATGTAATCCTACCCAGCCGCCGCCGCCGCCGCCGCCACCGCTTTAGCATTGAGTGCTGTTCCTGTTGCACTCACTGACTCAGTTTCTCGCATCGGCAACGTTGACGGCGGTTAACTGTTAGCCCGCAGCGCTTAACCCTTGCTGCTGTCCCCGGAGCCATTGTAGCTCAAAGCCTTGTAATGCTCGCATCTTTGTAACCCTTGCGGGCAGCAGCAGCAAGAGCAATGGGCGATGAAGAGGCTATGGTGGGGACGGTGCTAATGACGTACGGCGTATGTCATTAATGTTCTCGTCTTCGCCGTCCTCCGAACGAATACCTTGGCTCGCGCCTTCATTCTCGAAAACTTCGGTCTGCCGACTTAGTCTGCTGTGACTCCCCCGTTCCCTTTTTCCCTCGTTTGCTCTTAGCATCACTAAGATCCGTTACCGTCAGCTGAGGCTCATCTTTTTGTTATCCTTAGTGAAACGGCGCCGCAATTGTCGCTACCGTTGCTGCCACTTCTACCATCGTCAGCGCAGCGTCGCGGCAGTGGCGACAGCGGCCATTTTCCTCTTCCTGTCCAATCCTGCCGCCATCACCTCGCGCCCGATGCACCTACCTCCAATTACATCTATCTGCATTTATTTATCTGCTTCTCTTTCGGTTGCTACTGCTGTTACTTCTGTTGCTGCTCCAGGTTGTCCGACGCCCGCCGTCGCTGCTGCTACTGATGTTGCTTCTGTCGTTGTAAATGCATATTCAGTGGAAACTCTTCTATCAGGAGCAGCTGCCACAGAAAAGATAACGGCATAGACAATATGACGTATGGCGCGGCGCGCCGCCGATAACGGGTAGCGCCATCGTCATGGAAGTCTTGTCTTTTAGCCTTTTCGTTCAACAACCGCCGCCGCCGCCGCCGTCGTCGTTGTTGTTGTTGTCGTGCTAGTTGTGGCGCACTATTGTAACGGTAAACTGGGTCATTCATCCCATGTACCATCATTCGCTCTCTTTTTACGTTTTTCATTTTATCAAGTTTCCTCTCGCTCTTTATAGATTTGCGCATATCGCGCGCACACGTTTTCTGCTTGATACTGTTTCGCCTTGGGTTATTCTATCTCGTACTTGTCTGCCTCTCCCGCCTCCAATGGGGCTAACGACGCTGGTGATGCTGGCGACGCCGGCACAGCTTGTAGCAGTCATAGTAAAAGTCGTAATATTCCAGCCAGTGCCACAGCATGCCTACTTTCACATTTCCCTGTAACAAAGGCGCTATTGCAAAATCTCACCAGCAAAAGGGGCTGGGGGTGGTAGACGCGGGCTAGGGGAGGTTACTACTGCAATCACTACCATCATTTCGCTCAGCGTTACGTTTCGCGTTTACTGTTCATCCAGATAGAACAACAACAGCAGCAGCAGCAGCAGCAGACTTACACATTGAAAATGAGCATTTGCTCTCGTTTTTGACCGGCCTGTAGCAGCTTGGCCAGATTCAGCCTCATTAGATTCAGAATCAGCATCCGTAGCGTCAGCAACAATAACGACACGAGCGAATCCGCATTACTTTTGTAGTTCTTTCCTATTATTAGAAAGGCAGGAACAAGACTATATGCCCATTCAGCACATTGCATTCATTGGCCGTAGATACCCCATATATATATATGGGTATAAAAGATGTTGGCGTCGACTCTTTGCTGCCGTCCATGTGTCCTGAGCTGCCACAGCTGCTGTCGTTATATTTCGCCTCTGCTACTTCGTCTGTCGGCTCACATTTTTACACCAAGAGATTTCGTTGAAACCTTTTAGCACGAATTATATGTACATATGTATATATATATATATAATACCGTCTGACAATTTGGGATGCATAAGCACACCAGATAGTTCTCATTAGCCGGCCGATTAACAAGTGGTAAAGTTCAATTTACAAAGGCAATGCATTATAACTTTATAGTAAATACTACTGCTAGTTGAAGGTCTGCCGGCTGTCAAATGTAGATAAATTAATGCTGATATCTATTGAGGAGCAAACCTTGAACAAGCTCTTGATTGTTAAATACGTTTAACAGGCCAAATTGTTCATTTTTATCTGTGTCTTTCAGTCGGCATCAGCTGGTTCATAGCGCCACCAAAAACCATTCCTGTCCATACTGTCCCTTGGTAACAACATTTAAACATAACCTCAAGTCGCACGTGCGTAATATACACCCAGAAAAAATGCTCAAGTGTCCTTCGCCCAAGTGTCCTATGCTGTGTCTCTCGCAGCAGGAACTCGATAAACATGTTCAGCAGAAGCACTACGCCAGTGCCCTCCTTGGATTCGTTGATTTTGCCCAACAGAAACGGTAACTAACACATAATGGGCCTACTATAATGTACGGTACAAATAGGCAGCACGTGTCGTTCAGCTGTTAGAATTCTGGATTTTCGATCGGGTTCCCAAGATCGGAAGAGACAGCAGGCCCGCAACCCAACTATGTCCAGAGTCCATGCATATCAGTTAGTAGGAACACAATTTACAGGCCACAAGCGAAGTTCCGAACCGGAACGTGCAGGCAGAAAGAACACGTCGGACATGCTCCTCCAAGTTGATGACATCAACTAAAGAAATCGTGTTCATCGAAGGACACGTGATGTAACGTTCACTCGAAGCAACTGATAGTCAACCGAAAACAGCTGCTCCTAACTAAATGAAATAACCGAGACGCTGAAGGCGTTATCAGGTGAGTCGAACGAGACGCAAAATACAGGCACCGGCTGCAGCAGCAACAACAACGCACGAAGAAACGCGTCAACGGTAACCTAATTTACCAGATTAGGTTCAAATAGGTACTACAATATACATATGCAATTCGATAGAAAAACTGTCACGCTCAAACGCATAACGACGTACGACCAGCTGGCGTCCGAGAAGGCGAAACCTTAACGGGAAATCGACATTATCAACAAAGACAATGCATGCGGTAAATTGACCTAATCATGTGCTACTATGTTCTTTGCCCCAATAAAAGATACCGCTTGATGAAATACACGGCCGTCTGATACGTGGAGATAAGTATTAAGCGTTTCTTTAATGAACTAATTGTTGTCCCTGTTCGTGGTTTTGGATTATTTTTGCTCATATTTGATGAACGTCCAATGCACTATATATAATATAACGCCGCCAGTTTCGGCCAACCAGAACGCTGAAGAGCTCAGCGTTGTCGTCGTCGTCCCCGATGGAACGAACGACAACCTCATCTGGAGCTACGTGGTTATTGGAGCCGAATTTTAACAATGATTTGGAAAAAGACTTCACTGTCATTGACCGCTGCTACTTCATCAGTGGCGCTGCAGAGTGGTAAACGTTAATTTTGTGACGAGAGGTTCTAAAGACGTCGCGAATAGCCACGGGCCTTCGACGAGACATACCGGAGCAAACGGAGAAACACGTTGCACGGCACAGCTACAGAAAATACTCACGGCTGAACGATGAATGGATCGAATACTGGTGGTAACGACAACAATATCAATCTGACATTAAAAAGATACTCTGTAGTAATATAATGACTGTAATTAATAGTAAGTGAAAGAGGCACTATCGACTATACCTAATAACAACGGCAACAAAATAAAACTCTGATTCATTAAAGATGTTGTAACAATAAGTGTGGATGCAAATGCGAGAAATGTGAGGAAAAAGTGTCTCTGCACACGAGTCAGTCTCAGAAAGGGAGCGAGCGTATGTAAAGCTAAACACCTATTCCATATGGATACTAACAGCCTAAACGACGATAGCTGTGACATTCCCAACAAGTATATGTAATTACTATTTATAGAGAGTGATGATGATACTAAGTTGCTAACTTGTCAATGGACACCATTTCCACAACCAGGAAACTGCGCACTGGTGTTCCTAACTTGCTCAATAGTGTATAATATATATATATATATATATATGTATGTATGTATGTATACATACATACATACACCTAAATAACGGATTAATGTATGAACACTAAGACATACACATTCAATAGCAATTCCACTGATAGTATACGACGACAAAGTACGAAACAACAATCGTATGTTGTTGTACAGATATTGTTGAAGACAGACAACTTTTGTTGAGGCGGCAGAATTGGACCGAGGTTCTCTACACGATCTAGTAGAGGTGCATTGAATTAATACTCTTCTTCGTTAAATTTTAATAGCTAGGCAAAATAGAGCCGATTATCGCGTACTGCTTCTCACGGTTGGCGTCACACGCTCATTGCGAGAGGTATATCCTGTTAATCTAAATAAATGTAATCAGTTCCTTAGAATTGACGACGGAGACAGTCTGCTGTACCGAATATAGTAATGGGCTATCGCCGCGAAATAGCTTTACGTCCATTTACGTTTTAGATTTACACACCCTATGGCATATATTGTTGTAACAGGAATTTGCCATTCTCGAACAAATTTTGATTTCGTGGCTCATTCTCAATGAGAACTCAGCCAAAACAAACAGCTTTTGTTGCATAAGGAGCTCTTATGAAATTTTAACCACACCACAAAAAGAGCAAACGATATAGATTAAACACACGACGAAGGTAAACGCCATATAATACTCGAAATAAAAGTATACGTAGGTTATGACTACGTTAGGAGAAGCTAGTAAAGGTCGGACCTGCATAAACTGGATGATTTATAAGCTGGCACCTTGCCACATACTGACTGACCTAACTGTCAATAATTTATACAATACCAAGTTAAATACGCATCAAAATGGATATATTCGATCCTTTTCAGTGTTTATCGGTCATCGAACCAGTCATTACACTGGTCAAGTACGCTTATTAAACAACCTGCACAGTGTGTTAGAGAATAAAGGAGTTCTTTTGATTATTAAGACAACAGTAGCTACCTGCTTCAGTTTATATTATCCCTCCGATTTACTTTGTATGAGCTTGTTAACGGAGTCACGCAAACGATCACCGAGCGTAGGGCACAACTAATTTATTGTTAGTTCATCAAATCCTTCGAGCAACTTTGTCTGTCAATTGCGCCATCTTCTGGCGAAAAAAAATCAACAAATTCAACTGCGCCGTACTCGATGCTATCTATCATTGTTCCGGACAGGGTCGAATCGGTAATTTCACTTTTCAGCCTCTTGGAGTACGCTTATTTTTTTTATCGGTCACTAACTACTCCATCAAATGGATGGAAAAATTGTTCTCAGAACAAGAGATGAGAAACAAATCTGCCCGTTAGTATTTCTCCATTTCGCCTAAGTACAAGCCAATGTCGTGCTGTCCAAATTTTCTGTAAATATACAGTTCGAATGGTGGCTGTTTTGCTATGCAAGCTTAATTGGCCTAGTTAGAGATATCAGACTGGAGCTGCTATGAACTTTGTTAGCATCTACTGCTGGGCCGATTACTTCGGCGAGATGCTGACTGCCGAAGTTGCTGAAGAGTTGGTCAGCTCGAAGGAAGGGAGGCACTCCGATCTCTATGGGGAGGCTGACGACCGCCCTGCTGTGATACCTTGCCAACAAATGCCGCGGAATTCACCATCCAAAAATAATATATCACGTCCCCGACGAAATCGCAGCAGTTGGGCGGGGTACACAGAATGGTGCATCATTTAGTGTTAACCTTTTGCGGTCTGCCATACGCAAGTTGATGCAGTACCGGCGGCAGTATAATTTAACAAGTTACAATCTTCGCTTCTATCCCATTACCGCATGATAACAAGTGAGCCGACGAAGGCTTTCCTTTTTGAACGGTCAGATATATAGTATACTTTTCCATTGAATTCACTGAGATGATGCTCAACGTATTTTGCTCATTTGTTTTTCAACGGAAGTAAGCTAGGACAGCTATTGCTACCTCGGCATAAGAAAATCTTAGATGTCAAGCCTTGCCACCTTCGCCGTACAGGTCTAGACGTCCCACAGTATCGCCACTCGTATCGAGAAGTCTAACTTCACTATGGTCGTTGTATGATCGTGCAGATGCCGAAAAACAATACGCCAAAACTATAGCAAGTGAACACAAGCTTTGTTGAATACTCCAGGACTCGAACGCCAAAAAGCACCAGTTTTGCCTTCCAATATCTTACACTCCGTAAACCGTATGTTTTTTTTACTAATAAATACTGTTCATCATTAACTATGCTTGGCTTTGGTAAGCCCTACTATATAATAACTAGCTAGTTCTATCCTGCTAGATCGCCCCCATCGTATACGAGTTTAGGGTGGGGTGAAACACGCCCACGTCAGCTCGCAAACGCAATACACAGTCGTCGAAGGTAGTCAACGCATATTTCTTGAGCTGATTTCTTCTAAATCGACAAGTAACTGTTACTAATATAACTACATAGATAAAACTGATCTAATTATAATTTCTACTAGCTGCAATATTATATATATATATATATATATATATATATATATATCAACCTGAATAATATATTACCTAAATCTAAAGATAGCCACATATACAGATACGAAGAAATAGTTTATTAAGTATAATAACAATAATAATATATTACCACTATCACGCATTATTTCTCATATGATAATATAATAGCTACAACGATATTGTTGGTTGTGCATCACGTGATCGTATCACGCAAAGTAGAGAAAGCAAAGAAATATGAACTATTATAGATAATCTATTTTGATAAAGCGATCTTGGGCCTACGTCCCATCGAATTTTATGGAAAAACTAAAAATCACACACATACTAATGTGATAGTATCAGTTATTTACTGTACTTATGGACTTACCATAATGGTTTTCTACTAAAGACTATGCTGTCCCCTGTTTTCATGACTCAGATGTACATATATTATCATTACTACTATATATGTAGGCAAATATTATATGACACCAGCGCGGTTACTATTGCTCCCCTGACATTGTGCTCGCAAAAAGATGAAGAATAAGCTCACAGTTCGGATCAAAAACTTCCATTGTTGTTTTTTATAGACACAACGAAACATAGAAGAGATCGAATGACTGGGGCATCATAGATCAGGGTAGCTAATAGAATAGAAGATGTCGCAAGAGCGAAAGCGGGCACACGAACCGAATACGAAATGGTTGATTCCTGCATTCATCTATAAGTTCATCTTATAAACTTCGTGTTACCACTTAAAAACAAAACGACCATATTATGGAATCCATTTGATTCAGAAAAATACCTTGACATTTTCGCCTTTTCGCTGTCGCTTTAATTGCAAGATTGACAATCTGACATTAGTCGTAAGAAAAACTGATACCAAATCGAAGCGAGCTGACAAACCGAGACCGCATTTCTCCAGACAACACCAACAGAAAGAGTAAGGGGATCGAGCCAGTTCAGATAACTGACCATAACCGGGAGATTTAAAAAAGCTTTAACTTTATCCTATAAACAAACGTAATGACAAAATGATCAAAAACAAAAATTTACCACATAACTTTCGCATCGAGCAGAAGGATTTCATATAGCCTAAAACTACACACTGGGATAACGTAATCATTGCGAAGAGTTGATTCGATAATAAGACGAAGTAGTCAGTGATCAAAAATTATACAGCAAGGTTCTTCGTCTCTGCACCACCTAGGTGTTAAAGAGTATTATTACGACTGCTTACTAAGCAACTCAAAACAAGTCGCTATATAATTTCTTGCTTGGTCTTTCTTATTTGATCTGTACTGTAAAAAGAAGAACGGAGGCATACGAATGAGATAAAAAGATGCTGTTTAAGAGACGACGAAACAAGCGAACCTGCTGATGGATGTTACTCCGATAATATAACAATGATGATAAGTAAAACAATTATATATATATATATGAGGACATGATGATTGGTTCATGACATAATGCTAAAATAAACTCAATATTACCATGTATGTAGAGAACGAAAGAAAGAGATCACATTCAGTAATGCCACCTCTGCAACCAGCCTCTGGTTTTCCGATAGACGCAACACGAACATGGAAAGGACGCGAGAATCTCTACTTACATCGAGAACAATGTGTCTGCAAACTATGTAATTGTCGAAATGGATCGAAGTGTTACATGGTGAGTAACTGTAGTTTTGGTTTGTACTTGAGAACTCTATTTGTCTGTTAATATTAATCCTCAATGTCGCTTTTTGGCCATCTACATCTATTACGCGTCCATTTGAAGCCAGAATGTGGCATTGGACTACATCGCAATATCCGTTCATAAAAATTCAATGCATATCGTTCTCATCGGTATGTACCACTGCAACATTTACTACAAGAAGCTCACAGTGAGCACTGGCAAGAGTGCACGCGGGCACAATTAGATCAAAAGCGTTCCAAAAAAAATCAACACATACAGCAAGTGCTATTATATAGGCAGTAAAAATAGTCAATAATTTATAATACACGCTAATAATCAGCGACTGACATAGAAGAGTATCGTGAAGTGCGGTGTCTATCGAAACCATCATAGAACAGTGGAAATTAGCCCTATACGATCATAATCAATCCAGATCAAAGTAGTATATCAAAAAGAATTTACTTCAATTTCATTGATAAAAGTCTTGGTTGCATTACCTGAATATGACTCAATAGAATTGGTATTTTCACTCTACATTACTCAGCTGTTATTTGAATACGAAAGCGATGGAGCTCGTTGTATCTTCATTCACGGCGTTACCTGACTTTTCTATTTTTTTTTTCTAAGCGCCCTTATGGTGTTTACCACTAACGCTTTGCTTTTGTGAAGCTGTAGTCTTTATACAGCTTCGTGTCATCTTCAGTTTCGGCCTGATATCTGTTGTCGTTGTTGGATAGTACTGGCTTGGGTTTGAGTCATGGCGCTGATCAACCGGTTCATAGTCCCGAGAATCGACTGTTCTGGAGGTTCTCGACAATCGCTGTCTTCTCGCTTCGTTATCCTTGGCATACGTGCACTTCGGCAGTACGAGAATCGAATGAGACTCTTCGTTTGACTCGACTGTCGTCATGACGAACAGTCGAATAGATAATGACAATAATAACAATCATATACATCAGTACGGAAGTATGAGGAACGTTGCATGCCCAACTAGCGGCTGCTGAAGACTGCTTTTTGGCGGATAGCACCTGATGGCTTACAGGTGGAAACGAAAGCGAATCGCAGTCGCCTTCAGCAGAGGTTGTGAATTCTACGGTGTGAATTCGATTGACAGCAGTGCTAGGTAGAAAAAGAACCGTCTTCTGACTGATTGACTGCTGCGCTAATACTAACGCTAGCGTCGACAGCAGTAACGACAGCAACGATACGACGGTCGGTGTCTTGACTCAAGGTGAAGACACTCACCCTGTTGGTCGGTCGAGACAGGCATCGCACTCCGATCAATCGGCAAAATCCACCCAAATGCAGAAGGACCAGTTTGGACCAAAAAGTTGAAGTAGTGGAACAGAATCAATAAATGACCAGAGGCAGCCAAAGCCGCGGCAGCGTCTTGACGAAACATCACACATCAGCATCAACCGAAAATCTTCTGTTGTAATCGCGTTCGCTGTTTGGTGACCAGCGATTGGCCGTTGGTTCGCCGTGGTTGACGTGTGTCCATTAGTTTGTCAGGGCCGATCAAAAATCAAGTCAAAAAACAACAGACATGCATATACGCATTCAGACATATGGACACAAACAGAAAAAGAGTAAGCGAGCGAGCCTATGGCGAAAATGTGCTAAGGTGATCACAACGACCAGCCAGTAAAGCAAAGCAGTGCACTTATTATATACTGCCCGCTTTTCCAATTTGACCGTTCGCAGGCTTGCATTCGCTCGCAAATAAGGCTGGCCGGCTATCCCCCACTGGTCACTCACACCAATTCTTAGATCGATTCAATGATATCCTCCAGCTGCCCAGCTTGTGTCATATATTTGAAAAGCTCTCATCTTGAGCAGCTCGCTTTCGACGACGATGGCGAAAAGCACGCAGTCCGCACTCGTCAATGACATAAAATAATAATCCGTCTCGTTCTTCTCTGATTGTGTTGCTGCTGACCGCAAAAAGAAGACCCCCATTGAAATCCCAACACAAATACACAAGCAAAACATATGCACGCTTCGTTGAACTAATGTTTCAACGAGAAACAACCGTATCAACAAATGAAATAGAGATTCAGAAACAGCAACAGCTGATTAAAGCATCTCTGGTCGCATGTGCATACATAGCTAACAAGAATACATAGGTCAAGTTTAGACATACACACATATACTTATATGCTAGAAAAGACAGATACGGATGCGCAAGCTGGCAGGGGTAATATAAAAAAAAACCCTTACTATGTAGAATAAGACGTTGCCGTTTCATGTGCATCCGGCGGACAAAAAGATAAGAATATGTTTAGCTCAGTCGGGAACGCATAGATGATAAAAAAAGAAGTACCCCCCCCCCCCCCCCATAATATCTTCTCGGCCCACTCCTTTCCACTCATAATGATGATGTATTGTATAGTTTTTTGATAATATTAATATAAATAATAAAAGTAATATTTATTTGTTGTCATTGTATCCCCCCCCCCCGCTGTGTAAATACTTGTCGTGAGGTGGATGGTCATTACCAAAGTTTAATAAACGGGTTATTTTGGTCTTACAAAAAGAAAGTCTTGCATTTTTTATTTAGATAAGTAGATAAGTTAGCATTATCGATTACGCAGCGGCAAACTTTAGTTCGGTTGATTGTAATCTTGCAGTAAAAATTTCATCCACAGAGAAAATACATTAATTTCAATAAGATTTGTTTTCGAAATGAGTGTATAAGTAATAATTAATGTAATTATAGAATTAAAACAGGTACATGCTGTCTTCCCGGTTGGGAACGGCTTTTTAAAATAAGAAGTCACTACTTAGCTCGAAATCTATGCAAACAAAACGATAGCTTGAAGCTAACGCGGCACCTCAATTTGAAAAACTTACGGTTTTAGGATGAAACTTGTTCTGAAGGTAGCCAGCCCAGGTATCCTTAATTATGAAGTCACTGGTAGCCGACTTCCCGCCGCCCTCACCTAACTCCTCACTTTTTGATGAACGAGCTAGAGGTTCGGCTTTGTGGATTTGCATCGTTCCTAACGCATACCACGGTACACGAGGTATCCAACAGCAACGGATATTTTCGCATTATTAGCAACTGGTGTGATTAATTCAATAAGTACAACATACGGACTATCCTACTCTGTAAAGAAAAGCTCAGATGAAAAATCTTGTTGCCAATTAAAGATCTCATTCACCAATTAAAGAAAATCCTAAATGCATTTAAAAATATCAGCCGTTCAGCCTTTGCAGAGATTATCAAGTTCTAAGATATGTCCAAGGTGATCTATTTTAAACTCAGAGTGGCATGTTTGAACTCATATAAGTATTTATATCTGATTAGAGATCCAAGCTTGAATAGATTTTTGATTTCCTCAGCTACCGCCACATTGAGGAACTATTCATGGAAACCTTCTCACTAAGCATCCGTTTGTCACAGCAAGCATAAAATAGCAAGTTTTTTTTTAGTCAACAGATAAACCTCAACATTAGAATAGACAACAACATGTAACCTACAGTCAGACGATTGCTGTGTTTTTAGTAAACCATCAGAAACTTCTCTTTGTGTTTTCTAAGTATGCAGCCAAAGAAACGCTTGGAAAAAGCGCCAACATTATTGAAAAATAGATAAACTAGTAAATTCTTGTCCGTTGCTTCATGCAAGTATTCCAAAACTGTAAAACAGAAAATTTCTACACACAGCCGTATACTTCACTTAATTCATTATTCCATAATAAATCAAAACAGTTAGTTTTCTAAAGCCTTGTAGGAGTTAGCGAATGGTATAAAATTACATTCAGACCTTTGCCGCTACCTTTTTTATACAAGAACAACGAATCTAGCTATATGAAAAATGTGCATTACCGTCAGTGTACTAAATTAATCACAGCTTAGAGACATTAAAACCGTTAAAAACGCCAAAATGGTATCACAATTTAGACATATGTAATGATATCACGCTACTTGTCTCTAAGTTCCACAGGATTTCGACTTAGTGCTGGTTACTAATAAACCCGTTATTTATTCACATAGGTTGTGTAGTGTATATTGTTGTCCACATCAGTACCATGTCGAGGATAGCGAAACAATTACATTAAAGCATACACAGGAAAGTTATGAAAAAAAGTGGAAGCGTTCCCTTTCTTAGATCATAACTAAAAGGGTAACACCGATGTATCTAGTAGAAAAATATGTACTTGATACTTCGTTATTTTTTATAGTACTGAAAGGTTTGTCATTGTTTATTCAGAGAAATCATTTCTCAAGCATTTTGGCCACAACAATTCGTAGTAACTATATAGAACTTGGAACAGTATGTGGCATATTTTTTCGTCAGCCATTGCCTGTAACAAAATAGGAAATATTTAGTAAAATAAGCACGTCGCGGGGAAACTTACAATGACTCACTGGTCGAATGTATGCTCGCGCCGTAACGAAAAGACTCTATAGGAGAACTTTAATAATGCAATACTTTTAGTTTTGTTTATGCTGAAAAAAAATAGGAACGGTGCCACAGTTTAGGCCTGGAGTACTTTAAACAAATAACAAGAAAAGTTTCATACGCAGGTAGAGAAATAAAATAGCAGAAAACCAAGTATTTTAATCACTTATATCTTCCGTATATTTATCCATATCGAATCACTTGCCAACGATCAGCAAAGTTAGCGTAGGGATGCATTTAGGGCAGCTATGAAATGCTTTGTACGCGTTTTTTTTTCTTACTTTCCGCTACTTGCAACTTTTCCGCTTTTACGTAAACTAAGACTGAAGCCATTAATCCTAGCCACCATTACCATAGTTCCTTCGCGTATTCGATGCCTAAGACACCGTAGTTTTTGTGGCTAATATACAGCTACTCAAAAAGATTTGTGGGAGAGACTCCTATTCTGTTTGCACTAGAATCCCGAGAAATGACTAGCAACGGGTCTACCTATAGCCACGCAGAACATTAGCTTTTCTAGTGCAGTGATTACTTAGATTGCTTTCTATAGTGTACCTAAGAAGTAAAAACACCAAAGGTTCCACCTAAAATCCCAAGGGTACCAAATGCATTCAGTTTCATCAAGAAGTCCTCGAGTTTATATTTTTAGCTGTTTTCACTAGCTAGGTTTGCGTTACATTCACAGGCTATTGAATCACAGAATATTCCACATATCCTTAGTACATAATTCAACTAGGTGTTTTATAGCTGGAAATAGCTGAAACCAGACTTGTAAGTAACACGACAGATCATTAGTATAAGGCCATCTGCAATAGGTTGTCGTTATGAGCGTTGATGAGAATATTATTATTCTGGTTAATTGTGAACTATCAGTAGTTTAATTTCTTTCTATTATTTCATGTTTGAAGATAACGCCCTTAGAAACACCAAAATAACCAACAAATGTGTTCCATGAATAAGTGTATTAACTATATTGTTGAAAAAGCTATTAGGTTGTAGCTGTTAGAGACACATCGGTCGTCACTCGATGTTACCTTTATTATAAGTAGCATTTTACTTCTAACCACGCAAAATATTAGGTATTTAATACTTCTACGCCTTGACAGTGTCCCAGGAATAGAGTCAATCTTCATTTAATATAGTATGTGTACATTTTTTTAGAATAAACATTTAGAAAAGGTTCAAGCTTTGGTGATAGAATCAATAGGTTACCGACCCTATCTATGACAACGACCACTAAAAATTGGCCGAAGGCCTCTTGATTTGCCTTTCAAATATGTCTCTCAGAGGTCGGTCGACGGCCAACTTGTTCCCGTGCGTCCAAAGAATTAATCAGCCAGCACTGAAAAAAGCTTCGTAATCACATTGTAAAAAATGAACTCCAACGTATTACGGGTGAGATGAATCTAAAGTTGGTCGAACGCCCTGACAGGCATAGAATAGGCTGATGGAATAACTGCAAAAATAGTAAGAGCTAAGGGGATAGTAACTGCCACGAAATAACTGGTGGTCATAATTCACGTTAGCTTGAGTGTGATATAGAAAAAAATATTAAATTACCGACGAAACAGATGCATACCGAAGCCCGCTGATCTGTCTATATATAAGACGGCTCTCACAATGCGTCACACATCCTAAGATGTCACAAGACGTGAGAATAAACAGAGATTCTGCTACGAGTTCCAAAATGGGGCTAGAAATAAAGGCGAGGCAGCACATAATTTTATAAAACCTACCTTAATAAGATATGAATTATCTCACTCAATTGAAACGTGCTCCTTGTAAATGCCTATTATTGAAATCGGACCACTAATTCTCCCATTTTATCATCTAGAATAGGAATTTTTTTCTCGAGCAATACATCCTGAACTGTGTTAGAGTTGCATCGGACAGCTGACCTCTAGCACAAAGTGCACGTGTTTATTTAAAGGTTCAAACCCAAGAATTTCACGCTCACGTATTGGGTAAGCAGATACATTAGCATAGCAGCATCACCGGGACTAGTATCTAGGTTAACGAAAATATGTAGTAATATTGGCCGACATAGCAAAATGTACCGATTCATATAGTCCCAAAGAGTTGAGAGAATATCTCCAATACAAGCTTCTCATCATTTACGGGTATGACATGTTTATCTATTACGCTTATTATAGTTGAATTTGGTCTCCTTATTCACCAAACAAGCAAACTAGTACCAACTTCAAGAAAATGTTGAAATTATTTGAAGGCGACACTCGTTGCGTCAACTAAACCCTACGGATTCTGATCCTTAGCTTTAAATACTACTGGCAGTTAGTTATCATGCGAGATTAAACTATGTCGAAACGGCGCTGTTTTTCTAGATTTCACACTCAAATGAGTTTATGAGCAAAATAAGGCTGTATATGGAAAACAAGCTTTAAATACCGAAATAGAAATTAATGTTATCATTCTTTTATCTCGCCTCGTTACGTTAATATTCTGCCACATCATCATCGACTTCCGCATCGGTTACGACACCGGTTAAAGGTATTTGTTTACAGCTATGTTTGTATAGAGTTTTTTCTTAAATGATGGAGCTTACTATATAACTACCAAACAAATCAACAGCTGTATAACACTGTGATACGTAAAAGCACCCAAATGGCGAAAATAAGTCACATTAACGGCCCTTATCTTGTAGAGATGCAGTAATGTATAAAAAATACCACTACTAGGTTGGCAGCAGCGTAATAGGCTCGTAATATATTCTGGAACGCGACCTAACCTAATGCCTATAATACTCTATACTTTTTCTAGAAGTCGATATTTGTTTTAGCGCAATCCATTTTAATTACATCGAAAACGGCTTTTACTACGCAAAATTTCGAGATTGAGATTAGTTCAGATGTTTCTGTTACTCGCAGTGCAAATCCGGATGGCATCAATTGATTCCGCATGCCCAACCTAAGGGGTAAATACATTTATTAAAATTCAATTGGTTGGCAAAAAAAAACATGAATTTATAGAAAGAAACGCCAATTAGAGTATTCTACCTTATTCTAACATATTTGAATATAGCTGTTCATTCAAGGCCATTTAGTTCCTTTACCGCTCAATGGGGTCCGGGCAATTGATTGATGCACGTCGGATTTTTGAGAAGTAACAGAGTTATGTAAAAACGACTCTAACCTCATCGTCCTACTGTAAATTTATCGCAATGTTGCTTCTTTAGTTACTCCATGAACATGAATATGGAATTTTTTCAAAAGTTAGTGTAATCTCTGCGATGTTACATATATATAAACCCACATACTAACACGCATTCACACGACTTCCATATGCAGCCGTTTAGGTACAATCGATACCGTAAATATAAATATTCTTCCATAGCTTTTGTCTATTGATGCTCTCCGAAACTTTTTTCGTATCTTTTCTGTAATGCTGCAAACACTGAGATCACTTCTTTCTTCATACATACTATACGCTATTATTGCCAATGTTAGGCCACCTATTTTTTGGATTTCTGCGCTAGAGACGGACTTGAAACAAGACAAGAAATGCTCTCAAACATCCAACTTTATAGGGAAGTCATATACCGGAAAGCTGTTAAGAGGTAGATTCTTAGATGAATCGCTAACGACATCGACTTACCGTCCCAGAATTTGTTTTCTTCATCTGCGGGTCCATCGTACGCACGGTCAACTGGCCAAGCCGCCTTGTGAGTACTGCCTTTGAGATCAATAAGCACTGCACGCGGATTAAACGTTACTTTGTTTTGAAGGTTTTGTCCCTCTCTGATGAGTTGCAGAAATTTAAGAAAAGACAATTGCGTGTTATAGTAGTATATTCATGATAATGACTGACTGGGCAAACATACATAATGAGCACATTCTTATTGCAACATGGTTCACTCTGATTTCAATGTGAATTGTGCTAACATGAATGTGTACCTATCAACAGAGAAAACGGAGAATAACTTACCTATAAAAAACGTCATGGTTAAACTCATGGCCAAAAGGTGCCTGCTTCGTATAATAAAAGCAATTTGCTTGAAGATTCCACAGATGAGAACAGGTAAAATTCGAGAATGTCCCCAACTGCAATGTAATCACTTCACCATGGACCATAGTGGTAGGGCTCACAAAAGTTCTGGAATTGTAATAGAAGATATTTTTAATTTGATGCTTTTCAAACTAAATATTTACTACTTGCCAGTCACACCAACCTGATTCCCGACAACTATAGCACACTTACGAATAACTACCACAATTTCAATAAATTAATGTTAGTGATCTCTCCTATTTTATAAGACCACTTTTTAGCTTTTTAGCTAGTCGCACATTTTTGTTTCGCACAAGTTTTGTTTTGCAACAAAAACAGCCATTCGTAACACACATAATTATTCAGTTTGTCTACTGACTCATACTTAGATCACATTTTTTTAATTAATTTATGCTGACATATTAGAATGTCAAAGTAAAAACTATGTTATTTTATCAATTAATTGCTCATCAAATTGGTACTTCACTAGCTTTAGTTTTCTATGTAAGACGGAAAATATTTTTGTAATATATACACCAGTCTATAAAATCCTTGCCTGTTTTCCCTACGTCGTTATATCTTGCTTTGTAATAGGTGAGATACCACTTAGCACCTTAGTCGTTGTCACAGCATCATTTCCTAAGTAAATAAGTAGAACAAATAAATCCACTGCACGAATCTATTAGTCTTAACTGCACACTCTAAGCAACATCACTTGTCGCTAGATAAAACCGCGCATGCTGTTCCTACACAAAAAACAACAGAAACCTATACTTCCGCACTTTACTTTTGTTTGTCCGCAGATTACGTTATACAACGGATCTGCTGCCTCCTCTCTAAATGAGGGCTGCTTTTAAGCGATTCGTGGCTAACGTGCTATCTTGTGGAATTGTAGGGTTATATCATTTCAACATCGAACGGATTGAAGCTCCGCGCGAGCCTTGGTCCACAAAGCGAGACCATGGATCTTAGGCGGCACAGCAGACCCGGTGAGTTTCTATACGAAGAACTCTGTAGTTGCCGTCCACGTCATCCTGCTCTATTATACGGAAGAGAGGCGACCGTCAAGCCCATCCGGCATACAGTAGTTTATAGCATGTAATCGACAGCTTAACTCATATTCATATCGAAACATCGATGCCAAATGTTTTGAGTTTCTTTCGTCATTGGAGTTGTACGGCTTCGCCAGTTGGGGCCGGTCCCTGCCCAGGGAAATCAGCAGTGAAGGAACGTATACATATGCAGCTTAGAAGAACGGGTGTCCGCAAGATGCCTGATGAAATTTAATGTTCAAAAAGTTGTTACCTGTTGTTATCGAACCGTAAACAGTAGTATTGTGTTATAACTCTGCTTTGTTTAGATGGAACAGCTGTAGATCGGAACTAGATGAATGCTTTGCGTGCAATCAGACTGACACGCGTTTAATAGTCTCGAACGTAAGTCTAGTATCTAATTGCTCTGTTCTCGTATGATGGCGGCCCATGAAATAAACCAAACCTATATAAATTATTTTGTTCGAGAACAATGACGATGAAAGTCCCACTGAACTGGTGAGAAAACGAACATGCCATTTGATTTTTCTAATTTATGGCGTTGGAGTAAAGTTGTGGATATATCAAAGTAGTGTTCAGTTGTTAAATATATTATGTAGTCTCCGATTGGAAAGTCTGTTCTGAACTTAGCCTTCATCACCAAGTTAAGCTAAAAGCAGGTCGTTGGTGCTTCGTAGTTACTGAAATAAATAGCAACAACGTGTATGTGTCTTAAACAGTGACCGCTTTCATTGCTTTTCTGTTACAAACAAGAGGTAGGCGTTTTTCTCATTCTATAAATTGTTCGTTACAATAATTGCATAATTGTATGATTACTATTAAGTAAACACGCGAGATACGTAACTTAATGGTCCTCATTTGTATAATAACGCTTCTGGCGTTTTTTTTTTGCAATCTATAATAAAATTTTAGGCTCGCGACAGTATATGCAACCATCTCCGGTGCTGGGACCTTCACAAGCGCCTCGGTTATTTGAGGATACGTCGACATATGGGAATCAGCCGCCCGTGTCAACGCCCTACGCCTCCGCTCCACATGCTGCGCCTTCCGGCCTTCCTTCGGCATCCAGCCAACAGGAAGGCGGCTGGCAAAGTTACGACATGGAAATGATGGCTGAGTATACTCCGACACAACAATCTCTACCGCCGTATGACCCGTTTGGCCAACCACAACAGCATGGGTATGTGTGGACTTCCAGTACGATCGTAAAGCCAAAAAAATGAGGAAGTAATAACATTTCTTTTTCTGGTTAATAATGCATCATGAGTGCTAGTGTTCTAATGATTCTCTGCCCTCATATCAAGGTAATGAATAAATCGTCTCTCTGTTTGTCAGAGAATCAGTTCCGTAGGGACACGCCTTACTTTAAAGGGACGTGTTGAAGGTGACAGACATAAAAGCTCTTTGAGAACGATGCTTAACTTAAAAAATCGGCTGCCTTGATCAAGTACTAGAATATAGGGAACAACTTATTTCAATTCTAATATGCAACTGTGATTCCAATATGCAATTTTATCTATAATACCTGTGAGTTGGCTTGCTACATCGTCGATGTATTTGCGGTTTTATGGCATATATAAGTAAGATATGGATCTTGTTGTATGATGTTTATAGAAACAGAAGTGCCAACATGAATTGGTCAAATCTGGGAGTCCCTATAATGTTGAACTCTGTCTTAATAGAGTGTTGATAATAACTACATAAGGCAAAGATAGATGCTCTGTACGCTTGTGTTTTGCAGATTTAACAACAATCCAGCCATGCCCACAGGAATAAACATGCAGAATCCTTATGGTGGACCAAACATAGCTGGAGGGCCCCTTTCAACTGGAGCTCAGATGGGACAGTCAGGGCCTCAGCAACAGCAGCAGATCTTCAATCCTCAACAATTCCTTAATGACCCGATGACTTCGATGGCCTTCCATTACGGCAACGCAATAGCTGGTCATAGTCGAGAAATTGTAAACGAAAAAATTGAAAAATATGTGTCTATTAGCAAACTCAAGTAAGTAGAACCAAACATCTTATGTTTTTGGATAATAATTGAACTATTAATAGTCATCTTGGTCCTCCATTTCGGTCAATAAGGTTAATTACAAAATGTATAGTTTATACATTTTGTAATTAACCTTATTTTACATAGATATACTTTAAGTTGATGATTGTTCAGAGTCCTCTTCCTTGATGTAGATTGTAACTTAGGATCTATTATAAAGGAGACCGATAGCAGCCGGCAACTTTATTATCAGTCAAATAATGTAACCTTGGCTTAATCTCTTGCTGTATTTCATTACAGGTACTATTTTGCTGTTGATACGTCTTACGTTTCACAAAAGCTTTTCCTTCTCCTCTTCCCATTCATTCATAAGGACTGGGCACCGAAATACAATCAGGATGTACCTGTGCCTCCTCGGTATGATGTCAACGCTCCGGACCTTTATATCCCTAGTGAGTATATATATATACTTGGACACACACATACGAATATACAGATATATAAATATATACAGATAAACTTTTATGGAGAGATTTTTTCATCTTCTGGTAGTTTTCGTATTTGACATGATGTCCATTGAAACTTTTCCTTCAATCAAAATTGTACGTTAATATTATTTAAAAAGATTATAAAATATTATTAAAAAAAGTATAAAAGATTAATTTCGGTACATGAGAACTTTCAGTTCCAAACTATTGTTACGGTCACTTCTAATTTGTTTTACCATTTGCTTTGTCAGCTGAGTTGCAAATATGACAAAAGCGGCATAACGTTAGATCATGCGTATCTTCTTTGTATTGTTCTTTGTAATTTTCATATAGCGATGGCTTTTGTATCGTACATTCTGCTATCAGCCTACATGATGGGCTTGGAGGATAGATTCTCTCCGGAAGTGCTAGGTGTTCAGGCAAGCTCTAGCATAGCTGCAATGACGGTAGAAACCGTAATCATAATGGCTGCCCTGTACGTGATGAATATCAACACCTATCTGAAGTTCTACGATTTGATTGCATTCTGTGGATACAAATTCGTAGCTATGTTGGTCGTACTTCTTACGTCGCTGCTTGCAGGTATGACAGGGTACTTGCTAGCCGTAGCATATTGTTCGGCTACCCTCGGATTTTTCCTCGTAAGTATATGCAAACGCATATATACATATATATAATATCGGAGAAGCTGCACAGTGGCACTTCTTAAATAGGCCATCCACTTAAGGTTATATAGTACCATTGTAAAAAAACTTTTTCATAGAAATCGAGCTTCTCCTCTTGGATTGTTGGACGCATTCTAAATTGGTTTTTGATTGCATATTATTAATTGTATCATTAATCCCTTCTTAGTAATTTTCTAATAATAATGTTATTATTAGTTAGATAAACATTGCGAAACCTATTAGGTGCGATGAAATCGAAGGTTCACTCGTGATCTTTTTGCCCATATTTTCAGTTGAGAACCCTACGCATCGCCTTTCTGTCAAACCCTGGCACGGGGCATTTTGGCGAGGGGTCCCGTCGTTCACTGTACGTCCTTCTTGCCGTGTGTCTGTTCCAGCCATTTGTCATCTGGTACATGACTCATTCACTACTGCTGGCGACAGCTAAGGGTTCAGCTAGCCGTGCGACTGCGGGTAGCTAATAATAGTAATAATAATAATAATGGGCGAAGCCGTCGTGCGAGAGCAATGCGCAATAAATAGAATTGCTCCCACAAATGTTAAGGTAAATGTAGATCAATTTTTTTCGAGTGTTAGGTATGAGGCCTCTATGAGCATGCGCTCGTTGTGTGTGCCTCCGCTCTTTTTGTAGATTTATTAAGATTTACTTTCTTTGTTGATGATGTTCATATGAGCGTATGTTATCATTGTAGAGAAAAATAGAGTGGCGACTGATCGGAAGGAGCTGTACGGAGTTCAATAGAGGCGGCAAAACGCACGTCTACAGTAATGGCGAAGATGCTGGACGAAGACGTTATCTGTACTCAAAGTATGGGTGCGACGAAATAGGGAAAAGAACCCGACCGAACAGTACGTACGACGGTGGGAAGGTAGCAAAAAAAAAGGTAGAAAATGAAAGTTTTATGTGCCACCTACCCATCGATGAATTTCAAAGACGACGATCGATGGTTGAGTCGCCGCGCCATTGGGAATAGGAAAATGTTATTGAGAACAGCAAACCAATAAGTAAACAAGTGCAGCGTATGATATGTATATTTATATTTGAAATAAATAAGTACAATTATAATGTGATTTTTTAATAGAATGAACGTGTTTTCGTTTTTCGAGCTGCGTCCAACTAGCTTTGTGCGTCAAGCTTTTTAGTAGCAACGACTTATGGTAACTGCGAATTCTGTCGTATTAGTCTTGCTTGTTCGAACCGCCATTACTGTGTTTTGAACACACACGTAGGTGTGCAGTTTATTTTATACTCATCAAATATCAGTATTCTAATACTCTATATAGAGTGTTAGAATACTGATATATATATATATATATATATATATATATATATATATATATATAATCGTAATTTCTTTAAGAGATGACACCTGAGTATGCTGCCAATAAAAACCATTTTTATTTTGTTCTAGAATTGTTTCTTATTTTCTTAGTTTTACTTTTGTAAGCGAGCTTTGTTTTAAATACACCATTAATACGTGTATACACATTATGTAGTAAATCAAAGGCAAACCAGCAAAACACAACTTGTTGTTAAATGTCAACCGCAACAAGAATACAATATCATATTATCGTTGATCAGCTCCTTAGAGTATCTTTACTTAAAGCGAACATAAAATGCTATTTATTTAGGCACGAACTGGATTACGATAGTCTCCTGTGCGCCGACATCTAATTTTTTAAGCAGTACTCTTTGCTTGTGCTTATCGGAAATGGATGAAACAATTTCAATTTGGCCCGTTTCAGGGATACGTTCGTTGAGTGAAGTAATATCGACCTGTTCGGTTGAAGAGCCAAAGTTGGTCACGACGGCAATGCTTGGATCGCCTTTCTTGATTCGCGACATGGCTACAATATTTTCACCTATGATCTGGAGTGAGGTTTCACCCATACGGATGGAGCATTCAGCCTTGCGTAGCTTTGCGGTTTTTGTGAAGACTTGGAAAAAGTTATTCGATTTTTGACTTTTAAAATCTTCTACGATTTTCCATTGCATTGACTGCGGGGTTTTCCCATGGTTACGTTGAAGTTCATCTGGCAGATTCTCATCATTTTTCCCATACTCGTCGCCAAAGTAAAGAAACGGAGTTGCGTCAGCTAACAGCGAGAAGATGAGTAAACGATCGCGCTCTGCCTGTTCTAGCCGAGTTGTCAACGGTTTAATGTCACCATTGCCAAGGACAAGGTTCGAACGACATAATCTCGTCCTATTTTTCTTAGCTGTCGACTCAAGGACATGCAGCAGATCTTGTGGTTTGTAGTTCCTGCCAAGGACGAGTGGTTTATAGTTGAGCACCATGTGTGTCTGGTTACATAATTCAAGTTCGTCCAGCGGCTTATATGACGAGAGGATACTAACTCGTGGAAAATCTTCTGGGTTAAATCTGCTGACGCTATCATACCACTGTTGAGTCAGTTTTTTCAGGTCTAAACTGTTCGGCAGTAACTCAATTTCATCGAAGACAAAGCCTGCGACACCTTTGCCTAACCAGAAATCGAGCACATCGACGAACTCGCCCTGTTTCTCTTCGGTGGTAAGGTCGACCTGCGACATCGGAATCTTAAGCAGGATCTTTTGAGCCTTAGCGATCTCCGCAATATCGAGAAAAGAGCCAAGATTGGGTCGGATAATCTTCGGAGAATTCTTATCGTACAGGCCGTCGAGGACAATCGCAGAGACTGAAATTTCTTCAAAATACGAAAGCTTTTCTTTGACACCGGCCAGATCAGACTTTTGATCGCCATCCCCATCTTTGAACTCGTCCACACGTAATTCGTAGACAGACGATGTTTCGTACCATTCGGGCTCTTCGGGCTTGGCACAGCCTGGAGTCATAATGATGATTGCCACTGCGCCTACCAACATGGCAGTCCAAAGCAGCCAAAACAGGACGAAGAAGATACGACGCATAGCTATCCAGAACGGGTCATTCGCATACCTCATTAACTCTTCCTTCGTCAACCCGCACTGATAGCTAACATTTCCTGAGTCCGGCATCTCAAGTTTGGCTTCCCCATTATTCGACGTCTGAAATTTTATCTTTGCGTTGTCACCCTCGGTGTTTAGTTTCGACTTTTCGTCGATATCATCTAGTTCCTTCAAGTCGGACATCTTGTTTAAAACTTCTGCTGAAATCAATCAGAAAAGTAAACAGTACAGAGAACTTGTTATATGATGAATCATTATCTGTTTTGTTGACTTTAAAAACGAGAAAACATGAGATAAATATATTTCCATTAAAAAGTATTGTATCAGTTAGCGCACGCGATCTGAAATATTTGAATGCGTTGTGCTAAGAGTTAATATTTTGAAACATAAACACATTGTGTTACAAAAAACTTAAGCTCCTTGTAGTTAAGCGACAGTTTCAAAGAAACCATCAATGACTGGTCATTTCTGTAGCTTTCTAAATACATACGCTTGCGTGTTTCTCTCTACGATGGAAGCAGACTGCAGTAAGAATTGTGGGTATCCATAGAGTAGAGCACAGCATACGCGATACAAATTGTAAATCATAAAGCAGTATATTTCATCAGCAAGGATTCCAGTAAACGTCATTGAGTTCCAGAATTATGGTTCGCCATAATATTCCTGTATCTGTCAACTTGAGCCTCAAGTAAACTGATCAATAACATATACGATGGCGCCCCTAAATTGAAAATTTTATTTTATTATTTATGCTTCGTCTCAGCAATAGATTCAATCATTTTTTCTATATGTCCTAGAAGTGTGATTCTAGACAGTGATATTTATTCAGTGTAACCACAATCGCGATTCAATTCAGGACCTAAACCATTAACTAGTCATTCTCAATACATCATCCTGTTACAAACGGACTTTAAAACCGAATAATATTTGAATCAGTTGGTCTAGCGTTGATTTTTTGGTATGTGTTAGAGGTATTCTGTTTCATTTTTGGCACGCTTGTCCCGGGACTCTGACAGCTATATACCTATCATTCGCATTCCCATATGTAATTTATCTACGACTTTTTGAAGTAAATTGATCGTGGGATATGCTTGTCCGCCAGTACTTTTTTTAGTGAATAAAAGGTCTCATAATCATACGGATTTATACGGATACTTCTCTGTCCAATCTAGAAATAGAGATATGGCGATTAAGTCTGGCATTGTCATCAATTGACTGGACTGTGTGCTTTCGACTGTCGTACTAACGGTCTATAAGTCTATCAGGGAACTCGAGATAACGGACTGCATGCATTTTTTTATTTTCCGCGAGTGTTACATAGTAGCAGATACTCATGATATCTATTGTAAATACTATCATCATATGTCCAAACCCATTCGGCAGTGCCATCCTACTCAATTTTCTCCAGTGCATTTAGTCTCTTTCGGTCTGGCGGTAAAGAATGAATTACGCCTCGTTCAAGACAACCATACGCTCCCGGCATTGCAATGCGTTCTTGTTTTTCTTCCTTTCCTTGCAAACTCTTTTCTCCTAAAATGTACTCAATCGATTTACGTAATAGTCTGGAAGAGTGGACTATTTACCGCCCATATTTTGTCTGCTAGTGACGTGTCGTTTTAATTAATAATAGTAATAAAAAAGGTGATTCAATTTCACAGTTCACCGAATTCGCTTAAAACAGACAGATGTGATTTTAATATGCCAACAACTTTAACGGCTCACCGTGCGTCAAGCGATACAAGTAGACGTAAACTTGCTTAAGTGTTGCTAAAATATACTAGATACAAAATCTCACAGAATTAAACCTTAGGCTAACAGTAAACTAAAGGCCCCAAAAATGTAGGTGTTTAAAATGGCTGAAAATTTCAAAAAACACAAAAATTCTTAGAAAGAGCGGTCGTTGCAGCTTCGGCCATTGATACTTTCCTTTTTAAAATAATCATTAATTATTGAATCAAAAACGTAGAGGCATTAAAATGAATTTTTCAATCGTTTTGATATATTTTTGTTTTACTTAATCTTGATAACGATATAAATCTTAATGTCTTGAACATCATAATGTGTTTCTTGTCTTTTTCAGAAATTCTATTAAAACGTTCAATACAGATTTTGGGCAAAAAAAAGTTTGTAACCTTCGTAGGAATGCGCCCAGCGTGGAAAGATTGGATCATGACTAGTATTAGTTTTTCCGAAAATGAAACACTGCTGTTCAGCATGACGAGATTGTTGTTTTGCTGTAGAAACGGCTGGTGCTCGTCTGGTTCAAGGAGTAATGTATAAATGCAAGTAATCTGTAAAAATTTTTTTCAATTTGAACGCACCGCCCTACGTGCATATATAGATAGAGCATACTTAGGTTTGTTAACCGCCCGTTGTCCTTCGTCGATATTTAGTCACTGACTCTTCTAAACGCCAACTGACAGCGACATACCAGTTGCGATCTGCAGCCGTTATCAAAAAAGGCCGGATAGATAATTTGCAATAGTTCAGAAGTTCATGCTCCACTCATTTCCCTCGACATCACTTAGAAACAATATGCCTTAGAATGTCGATAGTAAAGAAGGACTCCTTTCTGTGGATTTGAGTTTTTTGGTGTATGTATTGCTTGGTAATGGCTGACTCAGTCTGCCGAACGGCCGTCGTGAATTCATAGAAAATGGAATTAACACAGAAAGTACAGACCGGCAGTCGAAACACGCACGCAAAATATAATATTGACTGTGGTTGCTCATCGCATACAGCTAGAGAAGTTTGCAATGGTAATAGTCGCCGCGTCTGTTACTATATTCTCGCTGGTAGAAAAGATAACGGCGAATCTAACGTCACTCGCGGTCTATTTTCGTTTATCTTTGACTAGCAATGCCAGTTGGTAGTGCGTGACCGCCAAAAAGCACTTACGTTGCTAAGAGACTTTTTTCTCTCTGTGGTAATGCATTGTCAACTTGAAAAACAGGGTGAAGGGAAACTCTCTTCATTGAAATGATGCTTTACTTTACCATTGACTTTTGCATTGTGTTTTAGTTACAACGGATTTTACTCTTGCGTATAATCGTACATGGAAAGTCGTAAACCAGATGTTATGATCATACGTTATACTGTATATTATACTGATATCTGTCACAACCACTTACTGGGAGACGGTAACCTTTGCCGTTTGAAGGAGCTTCGCAAACGCATTGCATAAAGCATTAAGCTGCAACTTGAAGCCATGATGGTAACTGAACATCCCCAATGTGGTTTACCATGCAGGCTACAAATAAAAGTACAATTCTTCATTACTGTCCCCATTTAAAGGCTGTAAACAAAATGAGGCGACGCTTACTGCCATGGGACGTCCCTCTCCAACGCTTTTATGCCATTGATTATAGCATGTGTGACTTTATATCCAGGGCTTTCTCTTTGCAAGACAATGTTTGCATGTACATCGTAAATAATAACCTTATTATACGTAAACTAGCACTCTCATTTTTACAAGGACAATGTCTTTTCCCAACGTGCCCAGAAAAATCATTCGTGTAGCAATTATCGTAGCAAATTTAATTGCATCCTCTATTATTTCACTATCATATAAGAAATGACTGCATTCGATGCGTTCAGTTACACTATGACAAACATATCTTACAACTGCTAAAGCCGTACATTCAATACTGTAATTCGGCGTTATGGCAACGGTAAGATGATTTTGTGAAAAATACCCTCTCTCATTGCTGTTGTATAATTCTGGTTAAATTAGTCAGAACTCAATACTAACAGAGAACGCCCAGCCATCTAATTTTACTCAGACAAGTAAAAGAAGTCAAATAGCTATTCCAGCCTATTAAATGATCTCGTGTAAAATAGTTGTCCGGCATGTTGCATCAGCAGGAAGTGGTCATTCTCGGAACTGTTGCGCTATCCGACCTACAGCCGACTCAACCTAGTTTCTTTCTCTTCGTGTCCTTTGATCTCAACCGACTAGGTTAGCTGGCTAGGGAAATTATGTCTGCCTCAACATTCATGGGCGTCTATCTGCACATTTATTGATATATATAATGTAGCTTCTGCATTCTGCAGTCTTAGCGAGGGGCGTAGCGTCCACAACTGTTGCACCTTTTATCAAAATTATGCTCAGATATTCGGACCAACGTGGCGATGGCAACACCGACAAGGACTGATATGGGTGTCAGCCCTATGCCACGACGACAGTAAAATGAAACCAAAAGGCAAATGGTTCTTTTTTACTATTAAAAATACATTTCAATTTTAGGAACCTATACATATTTCACTAGTCTACACACTGATTTTCTGATTACTCGTTAAGTCACATTCACCCAAAACGTTTCGCAATATTTCAAGCACCCACGTGTCGACCCGTTGCGGTGATTTTTATAACACGGCAATTTTTAATCACTATCAGATGTACTCTTGCTGTATATGCACCATTCTGCAATAATATACAGTATCTTATTAACGATTATCTATCTGCCCTTTGTTTCTCACCTTTATGCTAGGCAGATGTGTGTACAAACTGCCGCGGACGGCGGCACTCGGCACTTGACTGACGATAGTCTTCTTTACACTAGAAGCTGCAAAATTGATGAATCGACGTCTGGCTCCCAGCACAGCTAATGCTACGCCAGTTCAATTGACTGTTCGTTTGCTTTCTGGCTGACTGTACAACCGCTGGAGCCACCCTGGGTAATCACCTCGTCATCGCTGTTAGAATGACATTTCCGAACGTGCTACATGTGTCTGTGTGTGCGTGCGTATCTCTATGTAAAGATTGGAGGCACAGAACACCGCAGAGCATAGTACAAATGAGGCGTCAGGCGAGGAGGGTGTCCTAAATGGCGCTGGCAGGCGCAACCACTAGATGGCGCCACATTTTCGGTTGCGGGCCAATCCGGAGAGCGAGAGAGGACCATCGCCCGCAAATAACGGACGGTATTTGACAGTGTCGCTCATATAATAAATACCGGGGTTCTATGGATGCACGATTTATTTTATTATCAACCGAAGGGTGATGAAACACGCGCGCTTGTTGACGTGTGCATTCGATCATGACACTGATACTGAGATTACCATTTGGCTTAAACACATTTCGAATACCAGAAAAGCCAGTGTCAGTGTAAAGAGTTGCACGAAGTTAAGTATTAGAGAGAGCCGTTAGTGAATGCAAAGGAACCAATAAAACAGAATTAAGATGAAAAAATAAGACAGATTAGTGAAGGCACCTAGAATTTTCGACTATGTTAAACCTGGGCGAACAAATGACACCAAAAATGTGTAGCAGGTAAATTGGATCGTATGACGAGTGATACATAGGGCATTTTATAGCTATGATACGTTTCGCAAAAATGGCTCAACATTTTATCAAATGGATATCAATTCATGTAAAGAATTCGGTATGCGTAATAATGTGAATTCAACTAACTACTACTAAGAATGAAAACTAGGGAAGTTTTTGGAAAAAAGGAACATTTTCATCGCTGCTCCATTCTCAGATTCATTCAATTAAGCGTAAACCAAGCTGAAAATTGCACTGAACTATAAATCTAAACATTTATAATTTATATTTTTAATTCTAAATCTCTAAAGACTTTCTTGTTATTCTTAGAATTTCCTAATAGACGCATCATCTTAATGATAACTATAATATACAATGATTTTAGAAGGTACGCTATGTGGCTCTTGCTTTGTTTGAGCCAAGCTTATTCATTTTAAACATTAACCAAACATTATCATATCAGATATCTGATTATATTCTTAATATATATCATTCTTAGCCTGTATAGACTCACAAGATTTTGCATTTATGATAGACATTGCGGCATATTATGGGACATATAAAAAACGCTCACTCAGTGTAATTAAAACCAACATCTCTGGCCATATATAAAGCATCTGAATTGTCTTATCTGAGGAAACTACCCCTAAAGTTATGTCGGGGTACAAACAAAGATGGCGCACGTGGCTACCTATGAGTTAAATTCAAAATGTGCGTTATCAACATTAGTTCTTTAATTAGGCAAAACTGGCGCATCCAAACCTTAAGTGCGTAATATCCTATGATTTGTGGTGACTAAAGCAGGGGTGGAAAAAAATGTATACTAGATTCAAGTAAATCATCTATTTTAAAGAGGTGCTGATATCGCTAAAGAAGACCAAGCTAACTGAAGGTAGAGAGGATAGGGAAAACCCAGATGCATCTAGGAAAGGGGTGAACAATATGAGTTTATCACGAGGAATTGCTGTGCAAACAGATGTTATGAAAGGCAGTAGTATCACCAAACCGTAATGAGCAGTTATATAACACCTGCAGTCCTGTAAAAGACAACTGACTCGATATTGATTGTCGAAGATTACTGTCGTTCTGTCACTATTGAGATTCGAATCTTAGGAAGCAGTAGACATTGAACATAATGGTTAGCTAGAAGGAAGAAGCCATTAGCGACGGACGGCTTGCGTTCTAATTTTAATAGCTATTCTAGTGTCTGAATAGCAAAAGCTTTTTAGAAATGACAAAAAAATTGCATAGTGAAGAAACAAAACGAAACACAAGATTTGCCTTGCCAACTTTTTAAGGAGCTGTACTGGGGCGAACAAAACGATCGACATGTTAACTTGCATGGATTTCGTCATTGACTGATTCATAAACAATCAGCAGCAAGTAATATCAGATATCCCAAGCTAAGATAGCCTAATCAAAACAGTCAAAGGCTTTGGTTGTGGTGAGGACTATTCCAACATACCTTAAACTTTTTCGATGCAATAGTATGCGTTTCGATATCATTAAGTACTAACAAAAGGATCTTCTGAAAGCCCTTACGGGAGTCGAGCTCTTAGGAGAAAGGCAGCAGAGAACTTGATTCATGATGGGATTGATGCTAGGCAAGTCTGCACGTTTAAATATTTTGTCAAGTAAAAAGATGATGACAATGGTGCCAGAATCATTTCTTGAACCGAACCCTCGAATAAGACTTACAGTAATCATTTTAGATACAGCAACGATTGTACAAGTGAAAATAAGAGGTTATAGATTGCATTCTGGCAGTTCCTCTTAAATAGTAGCTAAGGGAAGTGCCAGAAAATAAGCCTGCAGACTTCAGTTGCCGCCATTGTTCCGTTATAACTGACTTCACAGTTTTAACAAATTTGAGCAATTTAAGCAGGCTTTACGAGTGATAAAGCAGAAGGTAAAAAAGAAAGGAGCCTTTAAAAAGAGTATTTGGTGCAGGACCTATACAGAAATCTAATAGAGTCACACGGATAAAGCTATGTTCAAAAAAAAAAAACTCTTTTTGGCTAGGCCTATATAGGCTGCTTATCTCTGCCCCCGTAATAGTACAGGCGTAACATGTTTGTCTACTAACTTAGACACACAAGGTGGTCCTGGCTTGAATCTGGACGTAGCTCGAATTGTGCTAGGAGCCAACCGCTTGAGGCAATGTCTAACAACTTAAGTACCAAACGTATAACTCGAAGCATTTGTGTATAAGTTACCTCGTCAATAATGAGAACATAGAGGTGAAATAGGGTTTGACGTCGTTCGGATAAGAGTTGATAATCTTTAAAGAACGAACTGAGTGGCCCCGAGCTTAGCTTTAAACTTAAAGAGGAGAAGAATTTTTTTTATAACAGCTCTATAACTTTTATAGTAACGATATTAAAGTCATTTTCGAAAGGATTTTATGGGCAAAGTACTTTTTAGTTGCGCGATTAAGCGTTAAGCGCATCAGGTCAAGTTATGATTTTCCGACACATCTATATGGTTTTTTCTGTTCTTTTTGCAAGTATGGGGGAAAAAAGCTGTGTGATATTCAGCGAAAGTGGATTGGGATGTACCAACAGTTTCGCCGGGATCAGTGGTCATCAATAATCCGACAAGCTAGGAAAGTTCAAAATTCAGGGTCTGTCTTTGCGAGGAGGCCACTCCCGGCACCATGAACATGATCGAGACGAGTACCAGTGTCAGGTCTGCTAGGAAGATTGATTAAGGGCAAAAGGCCAAAGCGTGCCAAATCGTTTTTATGGCCAGAACGTTATCATTGGGAGCCAGCATGCTGACGCTAAAGCAACCTAGAAAAAAGTTAAGTGATCACTAGAGAGAGGTAGTGATAGAGCTTCAACAAGACACATTTATGACTTCAGTCAGCACGACGATCAAAATAAGGATAAACTGTAGCTTTATCATTAAAGAACTAAATAGTTTTTGCTAGTGATCGAAAACTATTATGGAGGTATATAGTTACTCCGCCGTTGTCTCTTGAAGTGTAACATAGGTGTATAGAATTAAAATAATTACTAGCGAAGATTAATTGAGTGTAACTGGTCAACCACGTTTGTCTTGTGAAGATAAATAAAATTCTAAAAGGTGCCCGTCGCTTTGTACCAGCTAAAAATATTAGAACGCTCTTCGTCTTTGTTCTCAATAGTCATATAAGATTTTTGTCCGTATATGAATTAGTTATGCACCTGCAGGCACTGCATCATTTAACCAATTTGTATGGAGATTAGGTATACCAGGTAAGGTACTTGCTCTTATGTGAAGTAGATGATCAACTTGGAAAATGAAATGGCAACCGATTTATTCGAAGTGTTATTTATTATCAGTAGAAACGTAGGAAAGGTAAGTACAAAAGAAGAGTAAATGTAATACTGGTTGCTAAGAAGCAATAATGCTAGGCGAGTGCCGGTAGCTTGAGTATGATCTCGAGGATATGGCAGCATAAACAAAATTAATCATTGTAAATATCCTATAGACAAAAAACCTGTTTTATAATTGAACCACACGCATTCTCTAATAAACATTATGATTATATAAATGTATATTTGCTTTTCTTTATTTTCAAATTTTCCTTTTTTGTTTATACGAAAATACAATTTGGTCCTTTTTTTTTAAAATATACAGGTTCCATTTTAATATGCACTTAGAAGGATGATGTCTTTGTCCAAAGCAGTATATATCAGAGCGGTTTATTGTATGAAGTATAAGAATTAACTTAATCAACAAGTTCGCAGGTATAGGACTGCATCAATTTGCATGTGCCCGACAAGCTTACAACTTTGGAAGACTTATTGATTTCAGGCCTTCGACCCTTCTGTCTACTCCATCATGCGTGCTTAGGTATGCTTAGAAACCAGTAAACCGAAATGTGTTGATTAACTGGGCAGGAGCTAAGTAGGGCCTTTATTGGTTATTGATTAAGAAATAAATGCGTTTGGGTTGTAGCAAATGAAAAATAGTACGGAGTTTACTTGCAAGCTAGCAGTGTGAAAGTTGGAATTAATTAATAAGATTTAACATGGCAGGAAAATGTACACCAATAGCCTTATTAAAGGAAAACTTAGAATATCATCTGAAGGGTAATGATGTTACTATATACCACCAGAAGTTCGAGTAAGCCATGAAAAATGACCTTACGTAGAAACTAAAAGCGGTTTATCTGTGAGTGGTTTTATCTGATACACCCGTGTTTGCCGACGATGCTGATTTTGCTGACGGATCATATTCCAATACGCCTGGAGAAGTCATAGTTTGGCTTTCTCGTTCTTGTGGTCAAACCATCGCAGAAAACTGATATTGTTCGCCCCGTACTTGCGATAACATGGTGGTGCAGTAGTAGCATGTTTGCCTCCTTAATTTTGGAACAAATAAACGATTCATGTTTGAGATTGGACATATGACACGCGCCTTCTCATGCTGGGAGCTACGCATCTGAAGCAATACTTAACAGTAATATCTAACGTAAACTCGAAAAAATTGGTAGATTGTGATTTGCCTGAAAAATTACTGCTGGTCGAACTTTGGTCAAAACAACTTGAATTCGAATGTGATGTGGATCAAATCAGCCGTCCGAGTATAAAATATCGGCATCAGCCCGACCAGAATTGTTTCATACACAATAAGCCGATAAACTGAAGCGCTACTTCCAGGACCCTGGCGCTTCGTATAGTTTCAGAACCTTATCACTGCTGGCCATAACGTGGAGGTGTCCGAAGTGATCATCGCCGCTATTCGGTAACAATAGTTACAACGGATGAAAGTACTCCATGGTAGATCAAATAACCAACGGACAGAGGTACAGTCGAATAACCTTAAATATGAATGCCACTTGCGGTACCGCTTATGTGCTCAAAATTAGGGTTAAAAGGTGCATTGCCAAATAGCAACATATGGAAAAAAAATCGGGGACCAAGTTGAAAATGTCACTTACAGCTTGTCTCTAGGCTAGCTTAAAAATCAATTAAACTTTTCATTCGACATTAGTTCCGCCCGATGATGCTGCACGGCCACCTAAAAAAAGTCTTCTTTTACACGAGATTATGCAATATATATTGCGTACATTCGCTTAGCCATAGAAATCGTAGTAAGCATTCAGTATCTTTCAGCGAATCTTTTTTATAAATAAATCGATCAGCTTTCTGGCACGTTTTGCATAACAGTTAGTAATGGACATCAATTTTTTCTGTCGTATGATCATATCATCACATATATAGCATTAGTGTCGTCACTTAGTACCAGACTTAAGACTGTAGGGCATGCTAAGTACCTTATCTAGAGGTATCTAGGGGCCAAGTTTCTTTTGCTGCTTGTAAAAATTGACCCATTGTCGTACGCAGTTTACTGATTCGGAGCTTCCAGCAAACGCGTAGTGCTCGAGCACTTCATTGCGGTTTAAACGTATCTACATAAACACTTCGTCTTGATAAATAAAAATCTTATTCTCCTAGTATACTAATTAAGATTCATTCTATCTTAACAATAATGCTAAACTGCCTTTGTCTTTATATCTTTATTAGCTTTAAGTACAACCTTTATTTACTCTAAGATCATGTTTATGATCAACAAGTAAGCACAATTTTAAGTAAATAAATCACAACAATTAAGCAAACTGTAAAGAATATCTTTTGCACCTATTTTATGGTTCCAATTATAATCAGGGACCTGTATTCCCTTATCCAGTGACGGTAAGAACTCTTCTATCGCATAGATTACTCCCAGTTATTAAAAATCTGAGTGTGAGCGAAATAGGACATATTTTAAGGTTAAAAGCAAGGCAACACTTTCTTTTCTACTTTTTATTTACTGCCTTGATTTACTTGCTTGTTGATTCCATTACTTGTGGTAAAAATCTGTTGTATGCCCATCAATCTAAAGTACTCGGAGGAGGGACGTCAACTTTAGTTAAATTAACTGCATTTTGAAACGTTGGCTGCGCTACGTATGAGTACTAGCTAACAAAAAGAATATAAATATTTGTTACCAACAATTTATCTAAAATGACTGTCCTTTCTTTAAATCAAGCGGTGTGAACCAGATTTTGCTACAAGTCTAGTGAGTGTGTGAGACCTACCACAAATTTGAAGGTTTTTATAAAAGCCTTTTTTTCTCATAAAAAAAACTACAGTCGTTTAGTTTTTATAAAAACTAAACGATTGTAGTTTTTTTCATTAGTCCTTAACTTTACAATTAGGTACATTTCGAAAGATATAATCGTGCATCAAAGATTCGCCCAGATATGCACTAGTTTAATACACTGTAATCCGACCGTGAGGCTATCCTATTCTCTGGCGATTTCGTATTTCGACTGTCTGGTTAAACACAATATATCTAAAAATTGACTCGTGTAGTAAACCTGTGTGTAGCACGGAACACTGTCCTTTGGCTACGCGGCATTTGCTTAGAAAAATCCAAATGCGAATTTAAGCCTTTGCACCGTGCTGAGGTGGTACCCTCTTCTAAGTCGGTCTGTCGGCTGCAACGACTCGCCAGTCGCTTAAATTCATTTACATTCAGCGACCACTGTGTTCATCCATTTAGCGAAATACTTTGACAAAATTCGTGATTCTGTGCATATGGTATATGGTTTGTGTTGAACTCATTCGTTTCTTAATTCGAAGTTTCGAATAATCAAATGCGTAAGTGTAACTTACATTACTACCCTTCCACGAATAAGATCTAGCATTTTACATGTGGATTGTGGATCAGCTGTTTGTGAAGCACAAAGCTGTGTAATATCTTTTGATTCAAGGTTTCGGCAGCTTATAGCTCATCTTCGGATTAAAAATTCGCTCATTTGCCCCAATAAGGATGCAGGAGTGCAGGATTCTTACAATAATTTAGTACACGAGAAGTAATCTAACCGAAAGCGGACTTTACAGTTATCATATATTCAGACGTAGTCGTCTGACGCAATGCCCTATTGGTCTATAGGACGTAAAACTAGAAACATTTATTCCAGTTTGCTTATTTGATCAATGTTGTACGCTTCTATAGTAAGTTTCTTGTAATAATTACAAGCGCAAAAAAAAAACAAGAAACAATGGCGTAGAGTCTGCCTTGGTTTGTTTTATATATCCAATAGCAAAATTACTGCGTCTGTCACACATTGTCTGTTCGTAATCAATTAAATACTGTTTCAAAAAGATGCCGTTTGGTCTGCATCTATCTGCCGTTTTTACGTTAGCTGCAAAACAATGCTAATGCATGAACGACGTTGCGGAGGGGAAACAGAGTTTTTGCGTTGGCCTTTACCGTGGAAGCTTCTTAGCTGTTTGTTGATATAATAGAACAACTATTGAGATTTTAGTTTGCAGTTCAAAGGGATAAACTGCGCTTGTAATTGGAGGTTTTACTTGAACTTTTCAAACAGTAGGTAAACTATTTGCAGACACATTGAGAATATTTATGTCATAAAAACCTCATTATTCGATGCGGCAAGTCTAAAACTACGAACAAAATATAAACTTATGCGAGCACATATGGATGAAAGGGAAGCGTGCATGTCCCAGCGTATCATATTTAGAGTTAGTACAAAGCTAAACTGGTTACATATGGAAGGACTCATTATAGTTGATACTACTACAATTAAATCGAGCAATTGCTTTATATGTAATAGTGGTCTCTCAATGTAAGGGATATACGGGGTGCAATTTGTCTAACTGTATATGCTTAGTCAATGTGTTACTGCAAGTCAAATGGACTACGAAGTAAGGTAAAAAATATGCGATACACTCAGGTAATTAGAGTTATTTTGACAGGCGGATAAAATAGGGCACAAAAACAGTAGATAAATCATAACGGCGAAAACACACTATATAGACAAGATAAATAGCCTATATATACGCTAGCTCGGTTGTATATGCCTATATAGGTAAAAGCAAGAGCTCAGCAAAAATGTGCACGCAATGTATTTAAGTATAGTATAATTTGCGTACAAATAAGAAATGATATATAAATAGATCGTTTTACACTAATGTAGCTTTGTCAAATCGACAATGTTTTGAATTTGCCTATCACTGAGTTTTATTTGCTAGAATTGTGGACTTATGCATCCTGTTGATAGTTCGTACCGTCAGATCGAGTTGTTTCATAAAGCTACATAGGTCAGTAGAGAGAAAGTGAGCCAAAAACATATTAGCATCTATTAGAAGAAGAAACGTTAGCCGTTACGCACACAAAATATTTGTAACCGTCAACCTACGCTTTGACACACACATCTATTGCATACAAACAGTATTTCACCCAAACTAAAAAATCAGATCCAACTTATCAAGTGGTATACAAATTATCCTGCTAAAATTTCCATAATAACAAAAAAACAGTACAAGCGGCACTTGTTTTGGATATTATCACAAGACCCATTCACCGATCTTTTCGGGTTCGTGAGGGCAACTGCGCTGTCAACTGTACTTCTCAGAATTGTCGTTGCTGATGCTGTTATTACTACGGAATACGTGTCTACATAGAGGCAGCAGAGATTTGGATTGATCGGCTCACATCTGAGCAAAGCTCGACTGATTTGTATATCGCACGATGCTTTAAATAGTCCACTGCTGATCGAACTACAAAGTTAGGAACTCTACAAACTGGTAATCTTATTAGCATCTTGAAAAAACAGTGATATTTTCGGGAAGACAATCGATTGTTGGGCATTATTCGGTTCGATCGACTTAGAGTACTTAGAGGCCCCGCCATCTTCGCTGTCTGAATTTCCTCTTCCGTTTCAACGGAATTTCGAATGCCAATATTTGTACTTAGGGAGCTTGCACCTTGGGAAATATTTATTTTTTGCATTTGTGCAAGTTAATATGATAGGTCTAAGAAGAAAAGTTTCTCGCAGTAAGGTAAATAGGTTTTACCAATTAGTGCCATAGGCGATATATATATATATATAAACGGCACAGCGAGTGAAGCATAAGGTAATGCGAAGCTAATACGTATAAATTAAAGAATGCTTCAACCTTCGGTGAACGTCACCGTGCTTATCTAACAGCATAGGTCCATTGAATTTATTGAAGGTTTACTCAATGATCATTGTTTGGCAAATAAGACTTCATCTTTTTCTGCTTCTTTTCCGAGTTGGATTGCTCGCTTTTTCGATAATTAAGAGGACCTGATGAACGGTTGAGTGTGCTATGTGCGTTTAAAATGTCATGATTACCAGAACCATCTGGTTAGTCTCACCAGCTATCTGCGATA